AGCAAAATAATAACGAAACACATTTAGTAATTATAGGTTTTATTAATATTAAAAACACAATTATTGTAAATGTTTGTAGGCTGGCTTGAATTGGTGGTTTGAATCTGGGTATTTTCTGTTTTATTTTGCATTGTGCTCTGATCATGATTGAACTGGCTAGTACTTGATGAAATGCTCCTCATGGATTCAATCATCTGTTGATGATGTTCAGCGTCCAACTGTAAGTAAGGTTTGATCGACTGACTATTACTATGTCCAGTAATTTTAATGAGCTGTTGTTCACCAACTCCTTTCTTGGCCAAATTCGAAACAGCTGTTGCTCTTGCAGAATGATTGGTTATTTTAACTTTTTTAGTGTCAATTCCTATATCTGAAGCTGCTGATTTAAACCATGAAGATACAATGTTCTTACCAACTGGGCTATTCTTGTACCATCCTTTCGAATTGGGTTGATTCCAGTATGGGTTTGGTGTTAAGAATAGTCTGTCGGTTTGAATAAGATTTCCCCTTTTTTCCATCAACTTTCTAAACAAGCGAACCGGACACATTTGTGGATTTTCGAAATTTCTAATCAACCATTTACTATCCGACAGTTTTTTAGAACCACCTTGTGTGGTTTTAGAGAAAATTGGATTATATTCTATCCGACCTTTTGGGTTTCCGAAATTATCAGTTTCTTCTTTGAAGTATTGGATACAAGCAGAATGTCCTTCCCCTCCTCTCCATGCCAGCTCATGTGAAACTATGTGAAAAAATTTACGCTGCAACCCATCTGGAGTATTTTCATCCCACATTTCAATAATTTTTTTGTATTCGTCACTGGTTAAGGCTGAAGCACTCACTTTTCTTTTTGCTGAATCTCTCTGTAGTATTTTGCGCTTAGCATCGCGTGCAGCTCTGGCGGTCACAAATTCCACATCAGAAAACGGATTAAATTTTATTTTATATTTTTCGTAATAAATTTCTTGCAACTGCTTAGCAGTAGAGTTCCACATCACTTTGACCACACTTTCCTTATAATCTTCAAAATTTTTCTTTTTCATATTAAATGCGTAGTCCTCCAGTATAGTAGCCAGCTGTACTACACTCATACACTCATGAATATTATACGACTTTTCATCACAAAATTCAACAAACTGTTTCCATACACTTGATTTTGATTTTCGGGTGTTATCTGGTTTTATATTTTCAATTTCTTCTTTAATGACTTGTTGGTTTACTTTTCCAAATCGCGACATTTCGCTATACACTTCTTACTCTACGTACAGACGTTTTAAAACTAGTAATAGCTTAATGACAGAATCGCAACAAAAATGACAAAAACACATAATATGTCCAAAACATCAATACCTTGGCCAACAACAAATTGAAATTATTTTAAAATGTCATGTTGGACATGAATAAATAAAACAAGTTTAGATTGAAGAGATGCCCATAAGGACAAAATGTAAACATATTTGGCACTATTCTTGCAACGACCCAAAACTTTGAAAATTTCCGGGCAGTTCGGCTTTTCCGGAATTATATCGCCAAATATTGTTTAATCAAATTTATTATTATTTTCGTTTAATTTTATAAATAAAATACAGTGTGTTGCATACAAGAAACTTTATTTTATATAAGGACGCATGTATGAAATACCTATGAAACATTGGAAACCGACGTTATGCCACGATCCACGATGGTTTTTGCAGTTTACAGTTCTCAGCACAGCTTTTTAAGTTTTTAATGCCACTTTTTCACAATTATTACCGGTTGGAGTAAATAAAACTTGAATTAAACTCACAAGATAGCAATAATTACTTTGAAAATGGACGCTATAAACACTTTTCGGAATTTCTTTAGTGAGAGCGGTTTAGATTTTGAAAGATTATTATGATTTTTGAAGATTCTGACTTTGACAAGAGAAAATTATTTCTGTTTTTGTTTGCCGTTGTTCTTAGCGACCGCTATAGCAGCGCCAGATCGCGTATAACGGTCGCGACCCAAAATAATTTCGCGACCTAAAATTTTTACGTGCTTTCCAATCTAAACTTGTTGCATTTATCTATGATGTTGGATTAATATTTTTTTTTTCAAATTTAGGTGTGAAATTTTCTTACCGAATACCACGCAAGCTTAAATTATTCCTGGAAATTTTCTTTCGGGCACGAATATTTTAGGAAAATTATCCCTCGTCTTCGACTCGGGATAATTTTCAAAATATTCGTGCCCTCAAAAAAATTTCCGAAAATAATTTAAGCTCTTGTGATATTATAAGTGAAAATTTAAGTTTTATTTCTTGCTAAATTTTGAAAACCACTGTTTTTTTCTTCCTCTAAATTTAATCTACTACTTATGTTGTTATATTATCAAAGATATCAAGAGTCCATTCGGCATTTAACGTTTTGTGTAAAACTGGCTAGGTATTTTTACACAAATCAAGAAGGAAATTAAAGATAAAGGATTATACTATATCCGTATTGTAGCACATTTTTAGACAACTTCTTTATTTTTAAGATTTTGACGCTCAAACATCAACAAAATATTCCTTATGTTTGGACCAAATTTTCTCGAAAATAAAGATATAATTTAAAATTCCGTTACAATACGAATATAGATTGAAGTTTTGTGATTACAATGATATATAATTTATATAGTTTTGTAACAAATTGCTCGCTATTTTATGGTAAATGCTGAAGCTCTGCAAACCATAATCAAGCCTTAATCAAAGCATATGTGTTTGGAATTTTGGGTATGGCTAAACACGACAGGATCGGGCTAAGCCTTAAGGGCGGGCTACACGTACAAGCTTTACCTCGAGCTTACCTGCGCAAACTTGTTTGTATCGGGAACTCGCTGTGTGTAGACGGTAAAACTGTAGCACGCACAAATCAACAAGCGCGGCCTGCGTAAACGTCGCACTGCTAAAGATTTTAGTTTGCGCAAACCAGTTTGTGCGGTGATATCATACGTGTAGACGGTATCAGCGAGTTCAAGGTACAGTTTTGTGACTTATGTGGGTTTTGTGTTATTAGTTATCAACTCTTAGAAAATGTCTGATATTCGTACTTATTCTAATAAGGAGTTTATGACGAGTTTTATTGAAATATATTGATCGTTGCCATGTCTATGGAAGATAAAATTTAAAGATTATTCCGATAGAAACAGAAAAAATGATGCGTACAAGAAAATTGTTTTCTATTTAAGTCAGTTTTTACTCCACTTCGATCCATACCGTTTATTTTGCTGTTTTTTCTTTAACAATAAGCAATAAAAAAACAATAATTCGTCACTTGACATTTCCACGAACGGAACCACAAATTCAGAATAAAAATAATGATGAATGTACGCTCTTACTTGCATCGTGTGGACACCGCACAGTGTTCCTTCTAGTTTGCGCAAACTATACCGTGCAGGCAAGTCGCTGTCGTGTAGCCGCCGCTTTAGGCAGATTTCTCAAAAATATAATATATATTTCCTTCGGCAACACAACCGCATTACCCGACCCGTGAGAGCGACCCGAACAGTACAGCGTAATAGACTCTTAATCTGATTATTTAACTAAAAATTTTAAAAAATATATTTTTTTTTGAAAAATTCAAAATCTTTGTTTTTTTTTAGCGAAAAAATTCATAGACGTGATTATAGGGTCGAAATATACCACCCCTGAAAATATTTGTACTTATTTAAGACTTACCCTGTACAATTATGTAATACGCGGTCTCTACATTCAGATATAAAAAAATGCAACGGATTTTTTTTCTTAAAATTTACAGTGTTTTTTTTAATTATTAGCTTTATTTTCATAAATTGTGCAAATTGTATATAAATATATCAACTTTAACAGTGCTTTCAGATAGAGCGGAGCGTCCGCTTCGTTCGCGTTTTTTTTTTCAAGATAGCCGACGGACGAAATCATCCGGACGGAACATACGCGACCCATGTGAAATTGTTCATATAAACTTATGGTACTTGCTCGAAGTCGCGGACGCTCCGCTCCATCTGAAAGCGCTGTAATTCGTAAAAATTATTTAATCTGATTATATTCATCGCAATAATATTGATCAGCGCTAATTAACATTGAATAAGAAAAATCGAGCCAACTCAAAGATTTAAATAAATAATATCCAGGTCAGCAATTTAAAGATATTATTTTCAACTTTTTTTTATTATGAATTTGAAATATCATTGTACGATATAATAATATGCATAATATTAATCGTTGTTATTATAAATAAATCAACTTCTACGAACTAGTTTGTAATGCTCTACATGTTCGAAAGGGTTACCACTTTGCCTATTGCACAAATTTATTGTAAATGTTGAAAAATAATGATTTCACTACAAATGACGTCAATGTCACCCCCATCTCACAAATTATCAGCTGATTTGAAAATCTAAAAATACTGTTAGATAGCCCTAATAATGTGGCTATAAGGATGTGTAATTAGTTTTTTGATTTTCTAAAAAGTAACGACAGGAAAAAATAAAATTGATTTTCAAAAATATCCGTTTTTCCCAAAAAACTCAGCAATCTTTGAAATTTTTAAAATTTAACCATCTTCGTATCTATTACGGTTACCGAGATTACCAACACTCGTACCTCCAATTTGTAGCACCCTGTATATATATTTTATATATTTTTTTATATACAGCTTGTTAAAAATTCATGAAAATATGACCGCGTAAAATGAGGACGTCCTGTAATTCTAAAAATTTCCAACTCTAGCAAAATAGAAGTTTCAGAGCATACTTTCAGAAGATTCAGGGCATATTTTCAGTAATACCATATTCAAGGGTAATACTATTATACTTCTTAAACATGACAAACACGTTTGTCCTACATGTCCGCGCTATTCTCTAATATAATTTTCTAATTGCATGGTTCTCTTTTTGCCTGGTTTGCAGTCCCTTGAGATGAAAGAGAAAAATTGACTCCAACTAGATAATTCCGGAGCTAACATAGCTGAATTGTGAAAAATAAGGAAGGGACAGGAAATGATACAAAAAGAACAGGATTTAACAGAAAATAAATATTTTATATTACGGTATCAGTATTTCGTCGTAAGGAACCACCCTAAGGAAAGCATTGAATACTTGATTCACAATGACTTGGACCAATTCAGCTACGACTGGATAGCCTAATTCTTTCACTACGTCTTGAGAGTTCTCGTTCAAAAATTTGTTCATATTTTCACCTGTAAAAAAATTGTCTAGTAGTTAGTAGGTAGTGTTAACACTATATATTATATCTTTAAATTTTAAGCTTATCAATTTATCTTATTACACATATATATTCGATTAAACTTTTAGTTACGTAATCGAGGGCGCGATTTTTAAATTTATTGTTTTCAACCATAAATATATTCGGCGCAGGGCTGACTAACTGGAATTTAAATTTCCCGTTGGGGATTCAGGTAGTAGCTCTGCTATAGAAAATGGTAAGTTGCCATATTTATTTATTAATTTATTTATTTTCTGACATTGTCATTCGTTTTGACACTTTAGTTTGGTATTACGAGTTTTTGGTTTAAATGAATTAATTGTGTTGTGAACCACCAATTATACAAATTATAATTAATTTATTTTTATTTCCTAAAATATTTTGATTAAAAGAAAATATTTAAAAGTGGGCAACGCTGTGCCGGTCAAGCTTAATCGCGTGATTTGATATGTGAACTATATACATCTAAATTATTGTATATAACAATATACAAGGTGGCCAACTACCTTGTATATACACTATATACAAGGTGGCCAACTAAGAATGGACGCCGGCTGTATCTTAGAAACTAGTTATCGTATAACTTTCGGAAAAAAAATCTAATAAGTAAATCGACCAAGAGAAATCGCTGGAAATTATTTTCAAGTTCGAAAAATGTCCGCTAGGGGGCGTTTCTCTGATAGCCAATCAGAAAACAGGGTTTTTCTCAAAAATAGGCAGGTGAACAGGTATTTTAAATATTACTATTATAATCATCGAGAAATTTGTATTTTTTTATATAGAGCATTCTGCTCTATCTCATAAATTGAAGTGGTGGCGGAAGGTTAAACTTGCTTTTATTAAAATAAGGATAACTCTGGTTTAGGTTAGCCGATTTAAACAAGCTAGGGCTCGTTTAAAAGAGCTTTTCTCCCTTAATAATTTACGGTATAAATTTTGATTCCATAATTTTGCTTTTATTAAAATAAGGATAACTCTGGTTTAGGTTAGCCGATTTAAACAAGCTAGGGCTCGTTTAAAAGAGCTTCTCTCCCTTAATAATTTACAGTATAAATTTTGATTCCATAATTTTTTTCGTGGCAGCTAGAGGGCGCTGTTTGACATCATAACAGATATTGCGCTTTTGCATAAAAACTTTAAATAGGAGGCTATATTTCTCTTTGCACAGTTAAATAGAGCACAAAATTTCCAAAATATTAGCGCAAACCGCAACTTTCTATCTTCCCTCTAAAGGGGGGAGATATTAAGAAAATAAATCGTATTAGGCTGTCGCCTAGGATTCTAAGGTCTAAGAATAATAGTAGTAGGCTAGGGAACAAAAAGAGGTAAATTGGTTACGTCAAAATAACAAAACATATATTTTAATTTAATTTTAATACCATTTAATTGATATTTATCCATGTTCGTTCTTGATTCGACCCCATAAATTAAAACCCAGGCATATTGAATCTGATGACCTGGCTGGCCATGGAAATATACCGCTCCAGCATCTCTATGTACTCAAGTAAGTAAGTGGTATCCAAGAAGACACATTCATTGCAAAATAAGTGGCATAACTGCACCATCATGCTGATGAAAGTGCAACAAATGTAATTTCATCATGATGAATCCCCTAACAAAATTGGCTATTCATCTCTTAGAAATTATGGATATTATTTCATAATTTCTAATGATTCATTTCATTCAAATAATTAAAAAAGCCCAATCATTCGCTATCCTCTACTGCCTAAACATTAACCAATCAACTTGGTGCTGAACTACTTGCATCAAGGGTAGATTTGAACCAGTAATGTTAGTTAATGAATAATATTGTTAAGATTCGCACCTTCAATGCTATATGAAAAGTGACCCAAATGATATAAACTTCATAATATAATAATAAATAACACAAACAACAGGTAAAACACAAAAACAAGTGAAATCAAGAACGGATTTGGATTAATAACTAAATAACGTTACATGAAATAAACCCCTAGTTTTCAGCCATTCCTAGAAATTTTAGTATAATTATTGATTGTCCGATTTTCGGACATTTAATCTAATCTGAATCTTATTTAATCTGAAAACTACCTACGTTTAATTAACCAAGAAATTCGTAAAAATTATATGGATGGACGATAATGTTACATAAACACGTTTAAAAATTTATGACGTCATTTTTTTTAAGAAAACGCCCGAAATTCGGATGCATGAAAACTGAACTTAAACGTTTTGATATTTTGACGTAACCAATTTACCTCTTTTGGTTTCCTAGCCTACTACTATAATTTTTAGACCATAATATAATCCTAAGCGGCAGCCTAACATGACTTGTTCTGTTAATATCTCCGGTTAGAGAGAAGATAGAAAGTTGCGGTTTGCGCTGATATTTTGGAAATGTTGTGCTCTATTTAACTGTGCAAAGAGAAATTTAGCCTCCTATTTAATTGTTTATGCAAAAGCGCAATATCTGTTATGATGTCAAACAGCACCCTCTAGCTGCCACGAAAAAAATTATGGAATCAAAATTTATACCGCAGATTATTAAGGGAGAAAAGCTCTTTTAAACGAGCCCTAGCTTGTTTAAATGGGCTAACCTAAACCAGAGTTATCCTTATTTTAATAAAAGCAAGTTTAACCTTCCCCCACCACTTTATTTTATGAGATAGAGCAAAATACTCTATATCAAAAAAATTACAAATTTCTCGATGTTTACAATAGTAATATTTAAAATACCTGTTCCCCTGAATATTTTTGAGAAAACCCCTGTTTTCTGATTGGCTATCAGAGAAACGCCCTCTAGCGGACATTTTTCGAACTAGAAAATAATTTTCAGCGATTTCTCTTGGTCGATTTACTTATTAGAATTTTTTTCCCAAAGTTATACGATAAGTAGTTTCCGAGATGCAGCCGGCGTCTATTCTTAGTTGGCCACCCGGTACATAGTTTCCAACTAATACGTATTTTTGTTGAAATTGTTGAATTGAACACAATTTACTTCTATACAAAAGTGCTTCGGTTGTCCGCTAGAGGGCATTAAACTTTAAAAAAATAAACACATTTTTTCAGATTTTTTAAAAACCGGTACTCCGATTTGAATGAGATTTTGGGTGTCTGTTTAACTAACCAGAAAATATTTGCTCGTTTTTAAGACTCATCCTGTATATGAAAATTTTAATTACATATTTGATACTTTTATTTCGAAGTGTTTGTTTTATGGCTGTCATTCCTAGAAGATTTCTGAAATATCGGTAAATTTTATTTTTAATCTCACCTAATTCCTTGTTTCCATTAAACAAATTGTCCAGATTAAAGTACGACCTTTTGATATCGATGTCCGTGGAACTCTTAGCGATTTTTATGTACTCTTTACCATCTTTCTTCTTGTACGTCTCGTAATCAAAATTATATACAAACGTGTTGTCATCTGAAATAAATTAAAAAAGTACGACTATTAAAAATAGCATGTCGAATTGGTATAATTAATGTTCATTTTTAATTTTCGTTATTATCCTTAATTTTTTCCATTGAAACAAATTATTCAATTACTTTTCTTAATAACTGATAATTATTATAATAATACGTATTTAAATTATTTAAACATAATACATAGGTCTGCGCACATCGCATAATTAAAAATACCTATAAAAAATGAATAAAATATATTTACAGTATTTTTATGGCACTTTATCTATTATAATTAATATATTGTTAATAATTATATACTATTTACTATAAATATTAGAATAAAATGTACTAAGTTATTTAAAATTTTGACGTTTTAAATCACTGTTTGGTCATAAAATTTGCAATAGTTCATTAAAAATAAAATAAAATATTTTCAACTAAATAAGATGTTGTCAACACAATATTATTTGCAAATAAGTAATGTCACTTTTAATAATAAAAGCCTATGAATAATAAAGTGAGATATAAACCTTGAGTTTTATTTGAAAAAATGCTGCTATTTGAAAAAATAATGCACAAATACTTAGAGTTTCCAAACCGGGACCCGGTGTATGCATATCCCCGAAATCCCGATATTAAATACCAGGATCCCGAAAATCTCGAAAAATTTAAATACCCAATCTAAAATGATTCGATTTTATTAGCTTTAGTACCTATTTCAAAGATCATATTTTATTTATACTAAGCACAACGTGAATATCTAGAAGTTATATTTCCGTGTTTGCTATTTTTTATTCTTTTTGCAACACAAGAATTGCATTTTTTACTTACTAAATGTGAATGCCAACGATGTTACTTTGTTTTGTCTATTTTAATAAAGATAGTTTCTCATTTTCTTTTTGATGTATGTAGCTGCATTTTTATTAAGTATCTTTTTAGATTAAATTTCTCATTCTGATAGTCAATTCCGGGATCAAAACGGGATCCCGATCCTAAAAATTGGAAACCTATACCGGGTGCGTCTCAAAAGTGGCTCACCCCTATAACATTTTTATTTTTTATATAAAAAAACGAGATCTGTGTGTTAGTATGTGACATAAATAATTAGAATTGATTACTGTATTTCATTGTTTCCGGTCATTTCCTGTTTCACCGGAAATTACTACAACTTTTCATTTTTAAATGACACCCTCGGTAATTTTTTTACTTTATTCGATAGAAATGATATTATGAATAGAATGACATATCATATGTCAACTTTTGACATTTTCGCATATCGTTTATTTGAAATTGTAACATGCGGTTGATAACAACAATTTGACTGGAAATACCAAGTGTGTACCAAATTATTCGTAAAAAATGTTTTTTTCCAAATATGCTAATGAGTCACTTACTCTTCTTTTAACCATCTTTTAACAACAACACACTAAAGACAGACGACAAGACACTAAAAACAGACGATCAAATCTATTTTTCGAAGACTCCTTGATTAAAAATTAGTATTTTAATAAAACACGCTTTTAGATGTATCAAAATTTTTTTTTAATAAGAGTAATTTTAACTCTACATATATGTATCGGCTTGTAGGCCTTTTTCAAGAGTTTTTAAAAAACAAAGAAGAACTTGTATTTTGAAAAACTCTTGAAAAAGGCCTAACAAGCCGAAACATATATGTAGAGTTAAAGTTACTCTTATTAAAAAAATTTTGATACATCTAAAAGCGTGTTTTATTAAAATACTAATATTTCAACGATGTTTCACAAGGAACCAACCACAGCCTCAGTACTATTTATTAAAAATTAGTGTTTTTAACACAGCTATGGCACTCTAGATTGAAATTTAAAATACGATTTTTTTAGCGAAAATGTCAGCATTTGACATATGATATGTCATTCTATTCGGTGTGTTTACTTCTTTGTTTATTCGATTTTCTATCGAATAAAGAAAAAATAAACCGAGGGTGCTATTTAAAAATTAAAAGTTGTAGTCATTTCCGGTGAAACAGGAGCAACTTGCAAACTTTGCAAAGTGGCCAAAAACCACTGAACACGCCAATCAATCCTAATTTTAAGTCAAACTAAATATACCAAATCTCGTTTTGTTATCTGAAAAAATGAAAAAGTTATAGGGTTGGGCCACTTTTCAGTGGCTCACCCCTATAACTGGGGTCAGAAATTTTTTATCCCAGAAAATGTCAAAAGTCTGTCAAAAATGTATAACCATATTTTTTACCTTTCCCACGCGATAACTCCTAAACTAATCAACTTATTCACACACTCTTTTTTTTAACCGATTGAGGACAAATAGGCGGTGATAGTTGAAGTAATTAAAGTTCCACACTGAGTGTATTTTTTTTTGAAAAATGGATTAAACTTCAAACATTAACTTTATTGTATCATGATTTTCGGTAAGCGAGAAACTTATTTATTTGAAGAAATTTTTACATAGTATCTGCGTATGAAACAAAGTAAGAATATTGAAAAAGTTTTTAATATTTGATACAATCTTCTATTGCTAATATTTTTCTAGTTATCCCAAATTAGATTTACAAATAGGTCGCGCGCGAGATCGCTCGGGCCTCGCCGCGCCGCACAGAGGGGATTTTTTCCAAATTCGTGGCCAAAATGATTTTTGTAGCATAAACTGACTATTTTTTTTCGAAGCTAGTATTTACATTAAAAGTGAGTCATATTTACTAAGAAAATGTTTATTATACACTTTGATGCTATACAGGGTGGTAAAAAATTGCAAAGTTCGAAACAGAGGTAATATTAATTATTAGAAGAAAATATTTAGTAGTTTTCATCTTTAAACATGTATTTCTTGCAAATTGTTCTTATGTTTTTCATTTTCATTACATATAAATTTTAAAGGAGTGATATAACCCTAAAATATGTTTTATTAAAAAATGGTTAATTTTGCAGAAAAATGGTTGAACGCGTATTTTCTATCGCTTTTCACCAAAATCAATAGTTTTTTTAAATAAAAAATATATAAGGGGTTGTTCATCCCTTAAAATTTGGGTTTCGAAAAATTCCTACTTATTGAACCTCTGCACCTAACAATCTATACGTAAGTCAAAATTCAGCTTTTTACTCCCATTGGTTTCAGCTTGATGAAAAGGGGGTTGTATTCACCCCCTATGGGACTATCGTTGTGGAAAAAAATATCTTCGAATGTCAAAAACAACAATAAAAAATACGTGTTCAAGCATTTTGTCGCGAAACCAGTGGTTTATTAAATAAAAAATATTTCAATATTGAAAGGGTGGTTACAACCCCTTTAAATTCAAGTTTTATAAAATTCTTTCTTATTGCTCGCCTACTTTGTATAAGAAACCTTTGTGCAAAATTTCGAGTCTCTAGACCCAGAGGTTTAAGCTGTGCATTGATATGTACCTATATCCGTCACTTACAGTCACTTTCACAGACTTTTTTTAAGTGTCCATTAACTAAAGGACAATTAAATTTAAAGGTGCCATTTATTTTACGTGACGTACAGGTCATCAATCAGTATTAAAATGGTACTTAAAACACCCTTAACCTAACGGTCCCTTAAAAAAATGTTGATGCAAGTGGCTGTCAGTGAGACAGTTTATTCTATTATATAAGTAGATTTCACATTACGTTTAGAGCCAAAAATCTGTTATTTTGAACAGATTAGCAAAAACTAGCAGTCAGTTTTAACGTAGTTAATAAGATTAAGCATTGATAAATAAGACAATTAAAAGCATTGAGCTTAATACGCATTAATAGGGTACCAAATGCTTAACCGAATGAACGCTTAATTTTTTCTTTTTTCATTTTGAACAATAGAAAACAAAACCAATAAAAGTTTATATATGCATTTTTAAAATACTACTAAGTAAAATATTATATTATTCTACATACATGAAGGTACACAATCCATGTTTCACTTTTCGCAAAAAATTATTGGAAACACAATAAAACCAAACGTCATTAGTAACGAAAATTTAAGTAATGACAGCCAGCATAACATTTTGTCTTGCCAAGGCTAACTTTGGATCAACGTAACTAGAGAATACGGTGAAAATTTATAATAATTTTTTTTAGCTTATAGATAGATATGTTGCCTTTCATTTCAAATATTAATTATGAGAATATTGCTCATTTCAGAATTTTAAATTTTGGCCACGAATTTGGAAAAAATCCCCTCTGTGCGCCGCCCCGAGACTCTTAGATTTTATTTGGCAGCACCTCCAAACAGGTCGTAATTAGTCATTTCATATGCACAAAGCCCTAACAGATCATTTGATAAAGATTTTATGTGGTTATACCTTCAAAAATTTTTTTTCAAGAAGGAAGCAACTTTTTTCAGTGATTTTACTCCACTAGGACTAAAATGGACGACCGTCTTTAAAACTGCCCTCATCTTTCTAGAGGGTCTCCCGTTTCACCTGACCAGCAAAACTGACAGATAAAAACGTTATATATGTAGACAGGACTTTACACTGCATTGGTTATAATTCTCTTTTCAACTGGACTAATGTTTATTTACATTCTCAAAAAGAAAGTGCCGAATATTAATCGGATTATAACAATATTACCACATAATACGCGTACCAATATGTGCATATATCTTTAGACCGTCGACGCGACGTAACGTATATGTTTGTTAATAAAAGAAGTAAAGTCACTTTCTCCAAAATACTTACAGAACGTCATATTAGCTGGACCACTTCCGCTTATGGGCAAGATCAGAATTTGTCCGGAAATGGTATAGTCACTGCCGATACTCAACCAAGGAACATAAACGGTTATTATGACGTTTTGCTTCTTTGGATCTATTCTATAAAAATAAAAAAAAATATATAGAAAAATTAAAAAAGTTTGCGCAGGTCATCAAAGATGTCGAAACTATTATCAAATTAAATTTTTCATAAATAAAAATACGTTTAAAACTCAGAGCGGACATCCCATTTTTTTTAAAAAAATAGCCCTAAAAGTGAATCCTGAAATCTACATAAACATAGTCCCAAACTGAAACAAAAGTCACCTATTCCTATATAAAATTTACTACCAAATTACGTTACTGCAGCAAAATCCATCTTATCCCCTTATATTTATTGTCTGGCAAAAGACCCAGGTAATAAATGTCATCCTCCGAGTCAAATCCCTCAAGGGGCAATGGGCAGGACACCTGGCAAGAAGGATGGACAACAGATGGACCATAAAAATTACAGCATGGTGCCCGCGTGGAATTAAGAGACCTAGAAGAAGACCGAACCTGAGATGCGACCATGATATTAGAAAATTAGCAGGGATAACTTGGGCCCGCATAGCCAACAATAGAGGGAACAATATATGAGTCCAACTACAAAGAGAGTATCTAAATATGTGAGGGAGGCTACACCATATTTGCAAATGGTTGAAAAAGCTGAAAATGATGATGATTTATTGTTATTATTGTTGCAAATCTCGCATTTTTTCATAGGCTTTTTACACAAGTATAATATTACTACTGACGTCTTATCCATTTCAAATCCTTACATAATTTTAATAAAATAGCATATCTAATATACCCCGCTGGCAAGCGAACTTTTAGGTCGGCGTTTACATCTATAGGAGTGAGTCGTTATGGCAATCTAGTAAGTCGGAGTGGACAAAAATACGAAGTACTTATTACATAACTACTTAATCTGATGCTATATTCCATGCGCATGGGAAAATACTCGCATTCTGTCTTTATTCAGTACATCTTATTTTACTAAGAGTGTTGACCGTACTCTTCGTACACATGAAAACCGGCACCCAAGACCAAAAATGCCGACCCTTAGTATCCCAAGTCAGGATGCAAATATCTTGCTGTAGCAAAACCCAGAATCTGCACCATGCTACAGAAACGCCTGCCTTATCCGAATTAATTTTGTGTTTTTTTTAAATTAAATATTTTTTTTCTAGAAAAACGCGATACTAAACAATTATTCCACTTTATTCCACTCAATGAACACTTTTTTTGTAAAATACAGCTTCAAACCTTTGCTAAAACAGTTTTTGCATATCTATTATCACGAAACAACATTTTTGGGATAATAACTATCGAAGATAAAGTAATAACGTGGATATAACAAAATATATTTTTATATGGTATTGTGTCTAAAATTCGATGAAGTCAAAAATCGATGACAAATTTACTCATTTTATTTGATACTTCCCAAATTTCAAAGTACATTTTTGTCAAATATTTTCCTATATCATCCTGCACACTCCATCTGCGGTGTCTGTATTTTATTGCATGCGACAAAGATAAACATAAATGACCGGTTGACAGAGAGAGCGACAAAGTAAAAAGCGGTGTACAGTGTTGCCGGTTTTTACGTCTGTAGGAAAATGTGTTTAGAAAAAAATTTAAAAACTTTCATGTATACTACTGAAATGAACATAATATATAATATATATAATATATCTAAGTTAAATATAAACTATTACAACTACACGAAAATGAGTAACTAATTGTAAAAAATAAAGTTCCAACCATAGATGCAAAATTTTTCGTAAACGCCTACTTGTGCGGTTTGAAATTTTGAGGCAAAAATACCGTATAGAAGATGTGTATCAACCCAACTTTTGTCTCTTTTTGATACATTTGATTTTCCATTAAGCTGTTTACATCACTGTCATACATGTTAAATTGACTACGCTTTTGCGATGACTAGAATGTCATATTCCTTCCTATCATATACCTACCCTACAATGTGTCTCAATACAGGGTGCGTCTCAAAAGTGGCTCACCCCCTATAACTTTTTTATTTTTTCAGATAAAAACTAACTAACTAGATTTGGTATATTAATATATGACATAAATTAGGATTGACTGACGTATTCAATTGTTTTTGGTCACTTCCTGTTTCACCGGAAATGGCTATAACTTTTGATTCTTAAATGGCACCCTCGGTATTCTTTTACTTTATTCGATAGAAAATAACATTCTGAATAGAATGACATGAATGAATAGAATGATCATATGTCAACTTTTGACATTAGCTCTTAATAAAAAATCGTATTTTAAAATTCAATCTAGAGTGCCATGGCTATGTTAAAAACACTAATTCTTAATCAAGGAGCCTTGGAAAATAGATTTGATCGTCTAATGTTTTTAGTGTTTTGTCCTGGCCAGTCAGAAAATGCTCAAATCGTATTTTTAATCATATCTTTTTTCAAATGGAACGAGGGTGGCTCATTAGCACATTTGGAAAAACCATTTTTTTACGAATAATTTGATACCACACACTTGGTATTTCGAGTCAAATTTTCGTTACGAACAGCAAATTATAATTTCAAATAAACCATATGCGAAAATGTCAAAAGTTGATATATGTATGATATGTCATTCTATTCATGGTGTTATTTTCTATCGAATAAAGTAAAAAAAATACCGAGGGTACCATTTAAAAATCATTTGACATTTTCACTTCAAAAAAAAATCGGTTTTAAATTTCAATCTAGAGTGCCATGGGTGTGATAAACACACTAACTTTTAATCAAGGAGCCTTGGAAAATAGATTTGATCGTGTAATGTTTTTCGTATCTTGTCCTGGCTGGTTAAAAGATGCCCAAATCGTATTTTTAATCATATCTCAATTTTTTCAAATGGAACGAGGGTGGCTCATGAGCATATTTGGAAAAAGCATTTTTTACGAATAATTTTTTTTAATATGAACCGCATGCTTTTTTGCGGAATTTTTTGAAGAATTTCAAATAAACCCTATACGAAAATGTCAAAGTATGTCATTCTCTCCAGAGTGTCATTTTTTATCGAATAAAGTAAAAAAATACTGATGGTGTCATTTAAAAATCAAAAGTTGTAGCCATTTCCGGTTAAACAGGAAGTAACCGAAAACAATTAAATACATCAATCAATCCTAATTTATGTCATATACTAACATACCAAGTCTCGTTTTTTTAACTGAAAAAAGTAAAAATGTTATAGGGGTGAGCCACTTTTGAAACGCACCCGGTATACCTACCGTTGATATAGAAGTACAAAAAAAAATAGAATCAAATTAATTTAATTGTAGCATCCGGTAACAACATCCTTTTTTATATTCTTTTTTATTTTACCTAATTTACTTTTTATTTGCTTAATTGTTTATTAAGTTTATAATTAGTTTATTAAATTTTATTTTAATATTCTTCTGATAAAAAATCTATATATAAATTTAAATTATTCATTTAACAGCTCTTTTAAGTATATTTTTTGTCTTTGGAAAACATTAATTAATTTATGAAATACCTGTTTATCAAACTGGTACACAGTACCACAGTACTGTGTCCTTTTTATAACTTTCATTGATAATATAATTCTTTATAATTATGATAAATTATATTTTTATCGAATGAATAGCTTTTAAAAGGTTAAAGTTTTTTAATTACGTCGTTTTCCAATATGCATTACCTTATATAGAAAAATAAGAAAAATAATATTAACCTTTACCTACTTTTAGTTTTAACACGATACGAAATGAAACAAAACAAAATAAAAATGACGTTTTATTAAGATCATTAAGTAAAACCGGTAGGGTCCTAGATCCTTACATTTACAACGTGAAATAATATGTTTGTTCCAACATAGCAGAGAACCGTTCTTGGCACGGTTACGCTTATGCTCAGTAGAGAAAATGCGTTCCATCAACGAAAGAATCATTTAGCGAACGATAACTTTCGCATTCCCCAGCCAAAATTTGTAATCGTACGATATACATTTTTTTTGATAATATTTTGAAGTAATAATTTGTCACAAATTTTATATATTAATTTCCTGCTTTGCATTGCAATAGTACCAACTAGGGTTTCCGCAACCGGAGCTGTTTTTCGGAATCGTGAATTTCGGTAACGCGTCTCTTAGAAACCGGGATTTCCTGTTTTTTTCGGTACTTTCGGTACTGACTAATTTTGGTTCAATGGTGGTGCTCAGAAAACAAGGGATGGGTTTTCAAAGTAAAATCGATAAAAAAATATGATTTTTAATGAAAATAATATCAAATTGTCTAATCAGTCATGAAAAAATTAACATGAACGCAAGTAAAGAAAAAAGTATAGGCAACTTAAATTTCACATCAAACAACATAAACCAACTTAACTGAATTTGAGACAGAAGCCCTAAAATATTGAATTGAAAATGCATATATTTATTAAAACAACATAATAAATATATAGGAACTTCAAAAGAGAAAAGGAGCAAGAACTATAAGAAATAGTATCATTGCTTATTTAGAAGAGTTTGATTTCGACCGCTAGAAAGTATCAAAGGACTTTCTCACGTAAGAAAAAAATATTTTTTAATTATTGTTACCCAGGCCCGGTTCTGTGGTGGCCAAAAAGATCTGAACCCTAATTGGTAGTATTAATTAGAGTTTCCAAAACCATACTAAAATATTTTCGTTCAATGATTGTGGAGTTCGTCAATTAGCAAGTAAGGGATGGTTCTCAAAAGTAAAACCGATAAAGAATTCAGTTTAAAATGAAAATAATATCAAATTATTAAGTCATGAGAAAGTAAACATGAACATAAATAATGAACACAAGCGAAAAAAATCATAGGTAGCTTAAAAATTACATCAAACAACATTAATCATTTAGCGAACGATAACTTTCGCGTTCCCCAGCCAAAATTTGTAATCGTACGATATACATTTTTGTTGATAATATTTTGAAGTAATTTAAAAAAAAACTTTTTCAATTAAAAATGCAAATGCCTATAAAAACATAACACAAAAAAATATAACTAATACACAGGGCCGTTCCTGGCGAGCGTGCAGTGCGTGCACGCACGTAGGCGCAACATTTTGGGGGCGCAAAATCGAAGTGTCAATCAGTGCTTTGTAACAAAAAAAACCGATACGCTTTCTTGTTAATAAACAAATACTTAAACATACATCATAGGATAAAGTTTGCTTAGCGTCTTTTTTGCGTTGACCGCACCGAATAAACAAGTCTAGGGCAATCTGTCGACAACACATTGATCTCATCTATTTATTTTTCATTTTATTCATTTTATGGAAAGCACTGTTCGTTGAAATGTATCCTATGTTATAGAGCTTGTTTCTCTCTACAATTTTCTGTCTCACAATGTACCGTTTGTGTCGGGGACGGGATCATAGTTTCATAGTTGTCGATTTTCGAAAGAAATCAGTACATGTATATTATTTCGTATATTTTTCACTTTATTGATTTTATGGAAAGCACTGTTCATTAAAATGTTGTATCCTATGTTATAGGGCTTGTTTCTCTCTACAATTTCCTGTCTCACAATGTACCGTTTGTGTCCGGGAAGGGTTCATAGTTTCATAATTGTCGATTTTCGAAAGAAATCAGTACATGCATATTATTTCCGATTTTTAGTTTATTATTTTTATGTATTTCATATAAAATGGGTCAGTTTTTTTCTTTAGGATACTATTTTTGTTACTAAATATTTTTGTCATTTTGTTTATTTTCTTTATTTAATAAATGTTTTTATACTTTAATTAGAATAGTTTTTTTACATTTCCAATTACATATTGCTCGTTTGTCGCAGAACATAAATTCTTTAAATTTTTGAGATTATGATTAAAATATATAATTGATTTAAATATAAAAAGGGCGCACCAAAGAATGCTGCACGTAGCCGCCAGATACCCCAGGAACAGGTCTGCTAATACATCTAGCAATATTATACTAAATAATAAAATAACATATTTAAACTTCAATAATTGCTAATAAACATAATAGAAACTTCAAAATACCCTCAGAAATAAGCACAGTAAGAGATAGCATCATTACTTATTTAGAAGAGTTTCATTTCGACCGCTAGAAAATATCATAAGTCTTTCGCACGTAACAAAAAATATATTTTTAATTATTATTACCGAGTCCCGAAAGTACCGAAAGAACCGCGAATTAATAATTTCGAGTCCCAGTTCTTTAATGTCTCAAAGGAATCGGGAATTACTGGGATTCCCCGGTTCTGAACCCTAGTACCAACTTATTTGTTTGTAAAATAAAATAAACTACTTTAAAATTAAAATGATAGACACATCTATCACCTATCACTGTCAAGGATTTTGTCGTTGGACAGGCTATACGTTTAGAAGTAAAGTAATTCACAAATAAATTATATTTCCTCTCATTGTTGGGATGTAGTCTGTTGAAATATAGTTGGACGAATTGTAAAAACGTTTTGAGAACTCAAATCTTCATGAAGAACACGAAAAAATCAGTTTTATTTTAATTCTAAACCACCCAAACAATACAGTAAGTATACTTACTCAATTGTATTTATCTTAGCTGCCTCTAGGCCATCTATCACCAAATCCTTCATGATGATCTTAAGGTTATTTCCGCTTTTCATTTCCAATTCGGGCACCTTCAAGGGAATCAGATTCGGCGTTTTGAATTCTTTATCACCTATAAAATAAGGGTCAACGTCGGCCTTTAAATCAAGAGCTGAAATTTCTTTCTATTTTATCGAGGAGTTTTTCGACCTTTCTTTTTTTTACGTCGAATAAATTTATTTTTCCTCGTAAAATAGGATTTTCGTACTTTATTTGAGGTTTTTATGGAATAATAAGGAAATTAATGTGGAATTTTAGATACACAGAGTGCTCCGAAATTGTATTTGAGATACTTCGGGAGCATATTCTTCAGATACAAATAAGTAAAAAAATTCATATAAATATTTGTCCTAAAATGATTCGTTCTGGAGACACAGGGTGTAGAAGTTATAGTTGTTATATTTTTATCTTTTCTAAATAATTTCTGAACTAACATAATTCAGTCCTTTTTTATACAGGGTATTCCAGAAATATGTAAGTGCAAGTATTTTGTGGTAATAGTATAGTTCGACCACAGGTTTTTTGCGAAAAAAATATTAATTTTTTTTTGTTGACATTTTCCGGAAAATATTGAAAAGCTTTTGAGTGCCACTTGTTCAGTGTTTAATTTCCATTCAATTTCCGGAAATTGGTTTATAGTGCTTTGAGAGAGTGCAATGTTGCCATCTCCTACGTCATCCACATTCTATCACATTTTTAAATTTCTACAAAAAGAAATACTTAAATTAATTTTATTTACAGTCGATTTTAATTATTGTAAATTAGTATTAAGTATAGTACAACGGCTACTATTTTAAATACCTTTTTTACAATTTGATAAATTGAAATAATGAAACTCTAAATTTTTTGAATAAGCGCCCTCCCTTAGATATGTAAATATAGTCAACGTTTGGCCTATATTTGAACAGACCAGCTGATGTAAATCAGCTGATCTGTTTAGCTGATGAATTTTAGGCTGTCCAATTCATTTGAGATTTTTACCAAAATAGTATTTTTACAAACATTATTTTTTAAAACTGTCAATAAAAAAATTAACTCGGTTATTTTAAATTAATAAAATATTTTAAAAATAGCAAAGGGAAGATATGTTTCTTTTGGGCAGATCAGACACTAAAATACTTGCTCTTATTTCTGGTACACCCTGTATATTTATTCTGGAAAATAAAATTAATGCCGAATTTCTGGAGTACACAGAAAGGAAAATGTGCTTGAGCATATTTTAAAATATGCTTCGGCTTCAGTATAAAATATATTCTGATATTTTTTTAACAAAATAAATTAGATATATAGACTCCTTCTTTATACCCCTCTTTTTATTTTTTTTTTCGAATAAGGTGAATATGGTATGTAAGCAGCCCTATATTTTATATCAAATATAATATACTAGCACAAACTGTGAACCCTTCCTGGACACAAACGGTACATTGTGAGACAGGAAATTGTAGAGAGAAACAAGCCCTATAACATAAGATACAACATTTTAATGAACAGTGATTTCCATATAATCAATAAGATGAAAAATATAGTAGATAATATACATGTACTGATTTCTTTCGAAAATCGACATCTATGAAACTGTGAACCCTTCCTGGACACAAACGGTACATTGTGAGACAGGAAATTGTACAGAGTACCCGCGACTTTGTTCGCGTCGAATTAATCATTTGTAATGGTGATGATAAAGCAAAGCAAGAATTTCCATTAACATACAAACTAGATTTGCGAAAAATATTTGAGTAGTTTCGTCTCGTTGGAATTTGACTTTCGAAAAATCCGTTTGTCAAAAATAAGCTTTTTAGGTCAAGGAATTTAAGCAGAATCGTGGTTAATCATTTACCCCACTTTTTGGAACACCCTGCATGATTTTTTAAAAAAATTCAAAATATGTAAAAAAACAAAATAAATTATGCGTGTTCAAGCATTTTCCCGAATGACTAACCGTTTTTTAAATAACAAATATTGTAATATTTGAGGGGCGTTTTCACCCTCTTGGAATTTGAGATTCGAGAAACCCCTCCTTATCCCCACCTCTACACCCCACAGTCAATCCGTCTGCCAAAAATCAGCTTTAAACGTCAAGCAGTTTAACCAAAATTGTGATTACTTAATGGTCATATTTTATGAAACACCCTGTATAATTTTTTTAAAAATCTTAAAATATTTAAAACAACAATATAAAATATAAGTGTTTAAGAGTTTTTCCGAAAAACTTACCGGTTTTTAAATAAAAAAATATTCTAATATTTGAGGGGAGGTTTCACCCCCTTAGAATTCGGGTTTCGAAAAATCCCTTCTTAACGAACCTCTACACCCTAAAATCAATCCGTTTTCCAAAAATAAGCTTTTTACGTCAAGCGCTTTAAGCAGGATCGTGATTAATCAATGACCAGATTTTCCGAAACACTCTGTATACATTTTTAAAAAATCTTAAAATATGTAAAAAACAAAAATAAAATATACGTGTTTAAGCCTTTTTTCGGAAACTTGGACCGTTTTTTAAATAAAAAATATTTTAATATTTGAGGGGTGCTTTCACCCCCTTGGAACTGGAATTTCGAAAAATCCCTTCTTATCGAACCTCTACACCAGTATGTCCCCGGATTTTCTTAACAAGAGGAAAAACTTTTTTATTATTTGACATTTTGAGTAAAATGCATTTTTAGAGAAATATTTGCTTGTTCTAAAATGGTTAATGCCGTTTATAAATAATGCCGCTTTTCAAAATTTCAATACTGTTTTGGAGAAAATGAAAAAAATCATGAAAATGTAGTTGAATTTGTTCATAAATAACTCCTATAAATCAAAAGGCGTTTCTATGGTAATATCATTTCGATTTCATTCTTTGAAAAATGGTTATTATTAATTTTCAATAACGTGATATTTTTGCTGTTATTAAAGTTTCACATATTCCGATAACTACTATGACCTTTCTCGTAACATTGAATTGAACAAAATGTGTGTGTGAATTTTGTGCCTTCTTTATCATTTTAAAACAGCAGAAAATATGACGTTAATTAAAACTTTATAAATAAAAATCTATCAAAGAATGAACACGAAAATTACCATAGAAACGTTTTGATTTTTGGGACTTTTTTTCTCAGCTATGTTTGTTTTAAATTTTCACTAGTAATACCACTAGAGCTCAAATTATTTCCGGAAATTTTTTCGAGCTCATGAATATTTTGAAAATTATCCCGAGTCGAAGACGAGGGATAATTTTCTAAAAACATTCATGAGCGAGAAAAAATGTCCGGATTTAATTTAACCTCGTGTGGTATTCGGTAAGAAAATTCCACACCAAATTGTGTTTGAAAATCAAATAATTTAAATGTATTTTTCGATTTTTGGTCAAATTGATTATTTAGTTACTATGACTACTAAGTGACACCCAAACCTAAAAACTATTTCAGTTTTGAAGCTGTCAAGCGGCACGGTTTAAAAAAAATGTTTCGCTTCGGTCATGAAAGCAAAGAAAATCGCCAGGAGATTAAGCAATTGACACCCGCGAATACTGTAGGAAATCGAAGTCAAGCGTATGGAAGCAGTTTACAAACTTGCATCTAAGCTTTGTAATTGAAATGTATTAAAATTATCATGTAAACAAATAAAAACCAGACTCTCAAAAAGATATTCTGTCATTATAAACGTCAAAAAATTTCCAGTATAATTCGCTGTTGGGTGCCCACAAGGAAAAAAATTTTCACTAAAATTTATCCGTTGTCATGGTGATTTGTCAAAAAACACGTTCATCGGTTAAAAATTACAGGTGTGGAATTTTCTCTAAAACGGTTTTAATAAATAAATAATATAATGATAATAAAATTTGAAATGATATGAAGTGGATTAACCATTCGAGAACAAGCAAACATTTTTATGATGAATGCATTTTTCTCAAAATGTCAATATTAAAAACGTTTTTCCTCTTGTAAAGGCAAACCGGGGACATGCTGTATACTAAATCAAAACAGACATAAAAAGACGGACATGAATATATGAAACTTACCTTTAAGCAAACGAGGCAACCCATTATTTGCATTTTTTGCTGCACAGTTATTTAAATTGGGATCATATCTCTTGCAAGCTACGATGTAGTCAGCTGAAAATAAAAATAACATAATAAACTAGTAATTTTTGGAAACGAACTAAAAGAACAATGCAAAATGCATTCGTTATGATAAAAAAACAATATTTAAAACAAATTACGAAGAGGATTTTATAAACAATTAAAACAATTAGTTAAAACCTAGACTAAACTTTTTTCCCCTCTTTCTCAGAGCTTACCAATATTATTATTAATCAAACACTCCAATTTTCAAACAAAATTATAAATATTGTTAATATAGATTAATACCCACGAACTGTATACTATAGATAAGTAGTCAAATATTTTGAATTGTGTAAATAGCGGAAGTCGACAGCAACTATCTTATTTTAAATGGGTACACCTATTTTTATTACAAACTTAAACTATCTGTAAAATTTTATGGAGTTTGATGTCAAATTCTCTACAGGGTTATTCACCACATACGACACGGAGTATTGTAGCTAAACGATTAGATTTTTATAAATTTTAACTTTTGGGTTCGTTGAAGGACTATTAGAGCTACAATTTAGAAATAATTTTAGAAGATACAGAATGTCCCAAATAAGTAAAAAATGCTATAGTTGTAATTTTTTAAATGGAACACCCTGTATATTATTCTATTTTTAGATTCTACGATTGAAATAAAGGTAAATTTTATTAAGGTTTATCACACTTAAACCTTACCGTTTTTGAAATATTTTCAATTTTGTGAAATTGCAGTAAAAATTTTAAGGCTTCATTTCTCCAAGGGTATCAAAGTTTTTAATACTAAATATTTACTGAAGTTTATTTATTGATCAGTTATTGTGTTGCAATAATAAAAATGATACTACCTTATACAGAGTGTCTAAAATTTTATTTTAAATAATTACTAGTTCTAAACGGCAATAACTTGTTTAATTTAAATAGAACGCCCTGTATATTTTGGGAAAATCAGATGCATAATTTAATTGTCTATCAAACTGTATTATACTACTTTTTACCTATCCCTTCAAGTTTTCGTAGAAAATGCATTTTCTTATAATTTAGACCTCATTTATCAATATACCCATGGAATATTGACATTTTAGATTCTTTTTAAAGCAACAAATGTACAAAATATACAGGCTAGTAATATTATCGTTTTTAACAAAATGATAATATTACTAGCCCATTTGTATGCAAAAAGAAAACTATTTAAATCTTCATAAAAGAGTATACCATTAATTAAATATACCACCATTATTTCCGCCCAAATACTAATTAATTACATACTTAATTATGTTCGTGAATAAATTATTCTAAATAAATGTGGATTTAAATCAGAAATCAATATAATAATAAGTTATAAAAATGAATGTCTCTGTTGTTACAACTAAGCATTTGTCAAAAAATGAAATATCATTTTTAAGGTGTTACTTTTTACCACACTGTCTAATACACATAAAATATTCAGTTTTTTAGTTTTTGGAACAATTATTATTAATCAACGCAAATAGTCAATTCATGTAGTTTGAATACTGGAATCATATTAATTGGTCCTTTTTAACAAATATTTAAACAGTTTTTTTTTATTTTTTAATGAAATAAACAAACTATATCAGTATATACACACACACAGACAATATTAGTATCTGTACTCTTTAAAAATTTGGTACATCTTTGAAAATAATCTAAAATGTCAGTATTCCATGGGTATATTGATAAATGAATTTAAAATTACAAGAAAATGCATTTTCTACGGAAACTTGAAGCTATAGGTAAAAAATGGTATAATACAATTTGAAAGACAATTAAATTGTGCATCTGATTCTCATGAAATATACAGGGTGTACCATTTAAATTAAACAAGTTATTGCCGTTTAAAGCTAGTAATTATTTAAAATAAAATTTTAGACACTCTGTATAAGGTAGTATAATTTTTATTATTGCAACACAATAACTGATCAATAAATAAACTTCAGTAAATATTTAGTATTAAAAACTTTGATACCCTTGGAGAAATAAAGCCTTAAAATTTTGTCTGCAATTTCACAAAATTGAAAATATTTCAAGAACGGTAAGGTTTAAGTGTAATAAACCTTTATCAAATTTACCTTTATTTTAGTCGTAGAAACTAAAAATGTAATAATATACAGGGTGTTCCATTTAAAAAAATACAACTTTGATATTTTTTATTTATTTGGGATACTCTATATCATGTAAAAATATTTTTAAATTCTAGCTCTAACACTCCTTCGACGAACCCAAAACTTACTATTTGCAAAAATCTAATATAATAACATCAAAATCAGTCAAAGTCGCAGTTTTTGAGATATAAAAAATATGAAATATTGTTTAAAAAATTATAACTCAGAAACAAAACAGCTATCGTGCCTCCCGACGCCAATTTTTTTTTATTATTTTTATGTTATCACTACTAGGTGTAAAAAATAGGGATATCTTACTGGCCCTCTACACTAAAAAAATTGAAAAAATAAATCTTTGGTTAATTCTTATTCTTTGAATTTTCTCCTTTTAGATAAAGATAATATGATTATTTAAACAATATTATTTGTGGTTTAGCACATTTGTGTTTCGGATTTTATAGTTAAATATCAATCTTTAGACAAATTTCTAACGCTAGTAGATTTTATCTAAAATATCTATTTGCAAAGCAGTACATAATTTTATACACATTATATTAAGTAATATAGTAATCCAATGAACGATTACACTTTATTGCCTTTAACAGCTACCAGATTTCATTTTGTTCGTTTAGCTACAATACTCCGTGTCGTATGTGGTGAACAACCCTGTGTAATGTAATTCCCTTATATGTTTTTTTCTAAAAATTCCATGAATAACAAAATTTATTTAAGACAAATCAATACTTAATTCAAAACATAAATCAAGATACCTGTTTTATATATTATAAAGTATAATAGCAAAGGTTTCTACCTAAAAATTTATTTTTTTAACGAATACATACTTCTTTTTGATTACCGCGATGAAAGTAATCTCTGGAGATTGATAATTATTATATTTCTTCTTCTTTTTGATATTTATCTCAGAAGATATATTTTTAAGAAAATTGAATAAATATCTTTTTAAGAAGAGGAGTTTTCTCTCAAAAATACCTTAATATCCAAATCTTTAATTAAGAAAATTTAATTAATAACCGTGATATTTTTATATATTTTTTGTAACACTTACGAAGATTTTTCGCTCCGTATACTACACTTAAACACAAGACCACAATAATACTGAAGTACAACATTTTTGCGTTGACTTTAAGCTACTGACGATGTCTACGATATTTATATAGTAGCAAGCCGGTCCATTAAGTTGGGAACTACAATAAAGAAAAAGAGATATTTTTTATAGTCCGTGGGCAAACGAAACTTTAATATAGTAATATCAGTAATAACAGCGTTGTAAATAATAATATTACTTGTTAATAATCTTGTCTATGTTGTGAGGTACCTGGTGGCAAAATAAGTAATATTAATTTTTTATTTAAGAAAGCAGCAAGAATACAACACCCTGTATTTTTTAAAATAAATCGAAGCAGATTCAAATGCTCTTTCAAACTATATTAGGGTTTCCTATATCTATCTAGCTCAGATTTTGAATAAAAAGCGATTTTTCAATAAAATGGCAATCAAGAGGGCTGGTGTCGCCATGGCAATTTTCTAATTAAAGTTCTCTTTTCAAAATCGACACTAGTTTATGGACATTATTATTTAGATTTATAACAGTTTACTTAAATTTAGCTACAATAGTGTAATAAGTTAGTATTCGTTATTTTATAAAGAAAAATAAAGCAGTATCTGCTGGCGGAACGAATGGATATGTTACTAGTTTTATTTTGTGAGGAAAATTGCTTCTTGGCCTCAAGGGCTTATGCTCAAACATATCCAAACAGGAATCTCCCTGATAAGCCTTCCTTAAAAAATACATTTCTATTTCGCAGAGCTATGGTAGTGTGGTTTATAAAAAACCTATTAGGCAGAAACCTGTCGTTGGAAGTAAAGAAAATAAATTTGCCGTAATTGGCTGTTTTATAGAAAATCCATATATCTATTGCGTCTTGTCTCCGCTCCTGTTTAACCTGTACTCGGAGACTATATTTAGAGAAGCACTGGATCGAATCCAGGGCGGAATCAAGTTCAATGGAATCCCAATAAACAATATCAAATATGCCGATGATTCGGTTATAATAGCCAACGATATACAAGAACTGCAAAGCATTATAGATTCCGTAGTCCACTATAGTAAGATGTTTGGACTGCATCTCAATGTCTCCAAGACCAAACTATTAGTCTTTTCTAAGACTCCAATAAATGCACACCTGCGTGTCAAGGGACAAACAATCGAACAAGTGGCCTCAATAAAGTATTTAGGAACTAACATCAATAGTCAGTGCGACCCGAAAACAGAAATATTTTCAAGAATTGAGCAAGCGAGAAAAATCTTTGTGAGAATGAAATCATTTTTTACAAGAAGAGACCTCAGTGCGGATCTCAGAACTCGAATGGCCTGATGCTACGTCTTCTCTGTGTTACTCTATGGATGTGAGAGCTGGACACAGGATTCACAGACCGAGAAGAGAATAGAAGCCTTCGAAATGTATATATACAGACGGATGCTGCGAATCTCATGGGTACAAAAGATCACTAACAATGAAGTACTCCAGCGCATGCAGAAACAAAAAGAGATACTGAACACCATCAAGGAAAGAAAAATGCAATACCTGGGTTATGTGATGAGAGGTGGTAGATACGAAATACTGCGCCTCATAATAGAGGAGCAAAGTGCAAGGGAAAGATTAGTAGGAAGACGCCAGAACTCATGGCTAAAAGATTTGAGGAGATGGTTTGAACGCTCGTCTGCGGAAATTTCCGGGCTGCAGTTTCCAGAGCCACAATTGCCATTTGGATGGCCAACCTTCGGCAGGAGAGAGTGTGATAAGAAGAAGAAGAATATATCTACAAGTGATCGTAAAATAAATGAAAGAACTACTTCTTCATTTTTCTTGGTAGAATAATAAATACATATTTAATAAATATTATTTATTAAACTACTGTAGGCAAATTAATTAAAAGTAAACTGGCTAAACCAGTGGCTCTCCAAATTTTAGCAAAACATTTTTTTTTGAAATTTTCAAAGTAAAATAACTCGGTTATTTTGGATTTATTTGAAAAACGATAAAGAGAAAATATTATGTTTCTTTTATCGAAATCTACCAGCCCTAAAATTATTTGCACTTATTTAAGGCTCACCTTTTATATACAAGGTGTCCCATTTTTGTGTGTTTTAAAAACGAGAGCGTGAGTGTGATAAAGCTGCGGTTTTATTCACATCGCTCTTCTACTTTTTTATGAAACTAAAGATGCTCGACGCAGATTTGTCATAGCCTTCTTGTTTTCTGAAATACAGGGCGAAGTCATTTTCAAAATGAGTCATATGTTTTTTTAAGGGAATTCCCAGGTATATATTTTTTTTATTATTGATATCTTTATTAATTCTACTAAACAAAACACTAATAAAATTCTTTACTTACTGTTAAAACTCATTATAATATTTAACTTGACTTATATGACTTAACAATCAAAAATAAATTATACAACAGTTTCTTTCATGGTAATACCAAAGAAAGTGACAAATCATCCAATTAATTTTCGAAAATAGAATTGAAATATTGAATTAGGAGGATCATTAACAAAATTTTATACAATTAGAAATTAACTATCCAGTTTGTGGCCTAGGTGATTTAATCGTGTTTGATTTAATGACGCTATTTAATAAATAAATTGACAGATAAATAAGATCAACATGATTTTTTATCATTTTATGATTTTTAGTCAACTTTTTTTAACTTTTCGTTTCATTTCGTTTTTACCTGTTATTTTATTGTTTTATTATTGCTCTGGTTCATAAAGCTGTCAAATAAATACCATACGATAAAAAAACGGCGTCAGAGACGGCTGGAGAATGACAATCAATGATAATTTTGACGAGGTCACGCCCTCGACTTCATTTACTTGGCCGGTATTATACTCTTCTTTATATTTAATGGCGCTTACTGCCAGGACTTAAGAAGGTTGTAATTTATTTTTATATTGAGTAAAACATTATTTTTAAATGGTATAGTTTAAATTCGGAGAAAATAGATTTTTATTGAAATGGAATTCGTGTGTCTGGGAACATTTTATCCTTTTTAACCTTTATATTAATTACTATTCATTTTTAACAATTTTTAGTAAATTACTTCTAGAGATTGACTTCTACAAAAATATCATCGATTGTCATTCCCCAGCCGTCTTTGACGCGGTTTTTTTCAATCATACAGTATATGGTTTAACGAAGAATATTTTTTTAGAGACAAATTTATGGGAAAAAGTAGGCTCATACAGTCAACTAGAGACATACTCATCACTATCAAAGGAAATAGAACAGCAGCATAAAGAAACGATACGATATAACTTCCTGATTCATTGAAGTTAATCATTCCAATATAACTCTTCTTTCCAAATTTATTTTAGATCAGAATTAGATTAGATTATTTTTAAAAATAAACCGCCGTATACCGGGTGCGTTTCGAAAGTGGCTCACCCCTATAATTTTTTAATTTTTTCAAATAAAAATACGAAATTTGGTATGTTAGTATATGACATAAATTAGGTCTGATTGACATACCTATTCAATTGTTTTCGGTCACTTGCTGTTTCACCAGATATAACTACAACTTTTGATTATTATTAAATGGCACCCTCGATATTTTGTTACTTTATTCGACAAAAAAATGACACTCTGAATAGAATGACATAGCATATGTTAAATTTTGACATTTTCGAATATGGTTTATTTGAAATTGCAACATATGTGTTTCATAACGACAATTTGACTCGAAATACCAAGTGTGTGGTACCAAATTATTCGTAAAAAATGCTTTTTCCAAATATATCTACTAATGAGCCACCGTCGTTCCATTTAAAAAATTGAGATATGATTAAAATACGATTTGGGCACTTTTTTACCGGCCAAGAAAAAACACTAAAAACATTAGAAGATTAAAAAATTTTCTTTTCTAAGGGTCCCCGATTAAAAAATTGTGTTTTTAACACAGCCATGGCACTCTAGATTGAAATTAAAAATATAATTTTGTTTTAAGCGAAAATGTCAAAAGTTGACATGTGATATATCATTCTATTCAGAGTGTCTAGTATTTTCTATCGAATAAAGTAAGAAAATACAGAGTGTGCCATTTAAAAATCAAAAGTTGTAGTCATTTCCGGTGAAACAGTAAGTGGCCGAAAAGAATTGAATACGTCAATCAATCCTCATTTTTGTCATATACATACTAACACAACCATAGACTTAAAATAAAATATAGACTGAGCATCTCATTCATAAATAGCTGGAGCATGCGGTCAGACAATGTCTTGTTATTGTTGTGTTATTGTTTTAGGTTATAACGAGTGCGACACGAGCGATAGATAGGTTGTCTCTGTCGTAACGGTCGTTCCCTGACGACTCTGCCGAGAAAAACAACACTGTCTTTCGTTTCTCAAGTACACCTGAACTCTCCGTATCATAGCCGGGTTATTTTTTTATTTTAATGAAGCTATAATTAAATTAAAAATATATCATATTTAAACTTTTTTATATTTTATTAAGATTTAGGACAGGCTTTTTAAATAAACGTTTAGAAAAAACGTCTTAGAGTCCAAAAAGGATAAAAATAATAAAATACACGTTATAGAAGAAATTTTGTAATCGAAATTACGTAATTTTTGAAATTAATAATAAATTATTAATTTTAGTCAAACATTTACAACCCCTAATATTAATCAAAACAGGATCTATTCCACAGATATAATAGAATCGGCGACAGGGAGAGAAAAAAAATATGATTGTTGTAATTTTTTTTCTGGTTAAGTGATGTCTTATTATGTAAATTAGAGAAAACATAAATCTGTTCCATTAAAGCAAGGAAGGTGATAGGAAGTGGATAAAATGAAAACTACATTTATTTAACTCGGTACTGTCTTTATTATACCGGGTGAGTCCCAAAAGTGACTCATCCCCATAATTTTTTTATATTTTCAAATAAAAAAACAAGATTTAGTATGTTAGTATATGACATAAATTAGGATTGATTGACGCATTCAATTGTTTTTGGTCACTTCCTGTTTCACCGGAAATGACTATAACTTTTAATTTTTAAATGGCACCCTCGGTATATTTCTACTTTATTCGATAGAAAATGACACTCTGAATAGAATGACATATCATATGTCAACTTTTGACATTTTCGCATATGGTTTCATTGTAATTGTAACACGCGGTTCA